AACAGGAAATAACCTACTTTCTATGAATTTCGCTATCCTCAATTTTAGAGTTGTTCTGCAAATGTCGAGTGAAATAGCTTCATAAATATACCTTATAGACCTTGATTGTTTCTAGAAGTTATTTACTGTACCACGTAATGTTATTTACTGTATTATTTATTTACTGTACCACGTAACTGTGAATATTTAAAGAATGAATTTTTAGCTATTATGCTGCCGATGCGTATTTTTTACTTTTTGAACTCCAATTTTGATCTATAACTAACTGTTATTTTAATATCCGAACAAGCAAAATATCGTTTTTACATGGTAACAATGTTTGTGAACAAAAATCCGTTCCACGTAACAATATAAAGAAATGGGCTTAAAAGAGAGAATAAATGCCGTGATAGAAATCGTAAGCGGCGAGAGAATTCGTTTCAATGCACATTCATACATTCAACTTGAATTTAAATGCAAAGTAATTAACGCCCGCTGAGTCGCCATATTTTAATCTGAACTGTTTCGATGATCAGCTTCATTGTCAGTTCCAAAAATTGTGAGAACAGAAGTATCATAAAAAAGCCAAATTTGGACTAAGCCTGATTTTGCATCGAAAATTCAATTCTGATCAATTCATGTTGCTTATAAAACCGTAAGTCCTAACATTACTAACGTTTTGGTACCCGTTTCAAGTTGTATCACGACTGAACAGTTTACTATTGACAATGCTCTCCTTTTTAAACATAAATGATGGTTAACAATGTTGACATATGATTTTAATGACGTTAACATTACGTTCACGTTTGATGACCACTCAAGAAATTGTACCGATATTCGACAATTGCAGGTGCTGAATATCGGTACAAAATGGTCTTGTAATGAGCTTTAATAAGCGTTTTTATTTAAGTGCAATCGGGATTTGCACTTGTTGGGGGGGGGGGCAATATGTACAGGGCTTGGTTAATTATTAATAACGTCAACAATGTGTATCGTCTGCTTGATGTACACTGTATAGGAAAATGATGCATTTTGATTAAGATGTAAAATTTGCAATATTGCTTTAGTAGGAAACGTAACTTTGAAGACTGGTGTCGTACGAACGGAGATCATTCTGACATGAGAGAGGAGAGTAAAGAAGCCTCTACTCTAAAATTTAAGTCGTCTGTCGGATAGTAGTCTCACCGGACTTTGTAACCTCCCACATTTTATAGCTGTGTTATGGTGTGAAAATTGAAGTATATCCTGACCTGACAAATTTTTTATTCGTGACAACAGTTCATGCGAACCTGGTAGTTTCCCAATAACATTAAAACGTATTCATAACTATACACAAGCTAAATATTCACATAATTTGTTCACAATAAAATCTATTCACAAATATATTCACATCCTATTACAGCAAATACCTTTGCTCCGGCGGGCAATCCAAGCGAAGGTACAGTTATGTACAATCCATCTACAATTGCGGGCAATCCACGAACAAAGGTTGTAAAACTAAAATGATTGTCCTTCACGATGCTTTTCTAATGACGACTTGATGCGCTCAGAATATCAAAATCGAAATTTTTGTCCGTGCAAAGCATCCTGTACCCGCGCGTGGATATATACTTCTACAAACGTTCGTGCGTCTGGTGTAAATAACATACATATGTATTGTAGTTAGGAGAACGAAACTCCATTACCAATTCGGAAAATGTATGTTTTAGACATTTTATAGGAATTATTTCATCGAGTCATCAGTGGACATATGTTTAAAAATTTTCTTAATGAAGATTAGAAAAATGAAGGAATCCTGTTATTAGAGCATAAAGCGAAGAAAGGCGGTATATAGAGCATATAAAAGATCTTAAAAATATGCCAGAAGTAGAATCACAATGGAGAATCGAAAAATTGAAATGAAAGTTTCACTATTTGAGATGAATTATAGATTGAAGAAATATAATTTCCAAAAAGTCAAACCTGACCAGGAATATTTAAAAAGAATCAATTAACCTTGTACACTTACACTTCGTTTTGGGAAAAATCCTTCGTTCTAATTAACTAAAAAAAGTCTCTCATAAACATTTATAATTCAAGAAATTGATAATGAAAGCAAATAGAAATTAATTGAAGAGAGTTTACTTTCTTGCTATTTTCATGCGGGACAATATGTTATTATAATACATGTTGGAAACTGAAAAAACTTTACTAGTATTGAAGAAAAGTCTACGCTAAATTTTAACTAGAAAGCCTAATTTTGATAATATAAATAAATATATAAAATAAATTATATAAATAACGAATACAAATATAAGACATTATTTTTTATTGAGAAATTTTTAATTCAAATTTTGATGTAATGAAGAAAATACAGCTTTCGTGCTACAAGTTTTAGATAGCTCAGGAATCGAAGCAATTCAAAACATGAGGATTGCTTTATGCTTTGCTCTAAACCTGAGAAAGACAAGGCAACTGCTGTGCAATTAATTAAATTAAGTCGAGGCATACGTACCAACTGTAGTTCAAGTTAAATATCACAAAATGTCATGAATAACATAGGCATGTCGTCAGAACGAGTTGATATTTTAAATTCTATTCTAAATATGTATCGTCTATGTACTAAGGATCCATAGCGGTTATTCCCTTGTACATAGTAATTAAGAACAGTGTGATGAAAAATGAAATGCAATCAATTTCATATCCTTAAAAAGTATCTTCGGTCCGAGAACTCGAAGTAGAAATGATCTCTTCGAGTTCAAGTGCAATCTGGAAAATGGACTCCCGCGTCGTAAAGATTATGAAAATTATTCCTCAAGCGTTTTCATTGACTGGGGTAATAAGTAAATTGTAAAGTATACATATATGCACAATACCTGGGCTGGCCTCGCTGGTCCACTCTTGAACCTAGCGATGGTTCAATTAAGTTAATCGATTGTATTATTGAGACTTATACTACTATTATCATTAAAAATTAACGGGTTTGTAGTGAACAAACTTTGCTGGTAAAAGCAAATTGTGTACCACTAGGATTAACAGGATAATTCGGAAGAATATGTTAAGAGCCAAATGTTTCCCTAATCGACAAAATAATTTTTGCGGGAATTCATGAAGCAAGAACTTAAAAAAAATTATCAAATATAAGATCCATTGAAACCAACTTAATTGATAAATTAATATTGCTAAAAGATAATTTCAATCTCTGTCTGCGTAAATAGTCGATAAATAAAATTTGTACTTTCAATGTGATATTTAATAGGAGTTCATGTTGAAAATCATCAATTGGTTAGATAACTTTACTGTTGAAGCGCAAATGAATTAATAAAATTAATAAATCGAATGCAAAGAAGATAAAAATAAGGTTTAAAGAATTTTTTTAATTAAATCGTTTGGGGACCAGCTCCATGGTCTGTACAGAACTTTTTCAGAACTGTGATATAAACTTGATACCTACTGAAAAGCTAGAATAATCTCAACCTACTACTCAACGCAAATAAAGTAGATTGTTTTATTACCGGCTTCGAGATTAAATTCATACGAGTTTATCTCTTGTCATGTGAGGCGTATCATTCATACCATTCAGGTAATAACAACCCGAGCAATAATTATTTAAGATTATATACTACACGAAACTTTGCATAAATGTTATATGGCAGCCAATGACTTGTCTCTGCAGCCAAGTCAAGATCAAGACGAGCGTTAAATGCGGGAGTCTACAGAACTTTTGTACGGCTTAGACACCAATGTTTAAAACTAAAATTCGTCAACAATACCTTAAAAATTATTTCTCACAGAATGCTTGTAGTAAAATCATACACATAGTGGCGTTTAAATACATGAATTACAAACAAATAAATTAGAGTCAATAGTTACCTTAGAATATTTCTGAATGTTAAGCGGTCAAATAAAAACATATTAATGACGTTCGTGTTCAAGTATCGTGTGAATCGAATGAATGGCCAGCATTGAGAGCTTCATCAAAATGTCAGTCGAGGGCCCGAAGTTGTGAATAACGCATGAATAGAAACATAAAAAAGTCAGCTAAGTTTTACAGCCCATTTGACCTCATTTTTTTGTTTGGTTAGAGTTCCATTTATTTATTTTCCTACTATCTACAAAATTACTAAAAAGACAAACACAAACACACAAAAAAACACACAAGAACAGATAAACAAAAAAACTTCAAGAAGAAACTAGAAAGAATAAATGGCCAATATCAAAGAAAACCACCAGAAAAAAGACAAACCAACACAAGAAAAAGAGAACAATGCAAGAATAGGAACAAAAAAAAGTCAGAAGCAAGGATTGATTTGAAGGAAAGGGAAAGCAAAAAAAATGCAATTTCAACCGCCAAGCTAGAAACACTTGAAAACGAAATGTTTGACGTTATTCCTTAGAACTTTGAAACTGCGTCGATTTCTGATCCCGATGCGATATCAACACCGAGTAACGTGACGGCGTCGTGCACAGAGTGGAAGAGACGGCCGGCGGTGATGGTGGCCAGCACTCCCGTCACCTCCAGCGACCGCATCACATCATCTGTGGAAGACACGACCATTGCAGCTGTGCTTTTCTTCGCAATCTCTGACAAATAAATCCAGAATGCGAATTACAAATTCGAATTTGTATTTCGAAATGTGGATAACACATCTTTTAGCCACCGTGACATACGCACATCTCACATGAAAATCTCATAACAGTTGCTAAAAAGGATGACTTTGCTTGAAATTAGAAACAGATTTATTATTTTTAAGGTTTATGCTGTGTGGTTATGATTACTGTTACTGTAGTGGGAAGGAATATCTAATGTGAAATTTAGTTTTGCAGTCATATAAACGAATATGAGAACAACGTACGAAATATTAACACGAGTTATGACCATTTACCGTGCTTTCATGAAAGAATTTGAGAAAAACATTCCCTAAACCCATTGTTTGTAGAAATAATGTTGTGCCGATGTGTCATAATTATGCTTAAGAGCAATAGTCCAAACTTGTAATGTGGTGTCAATTTAGACAGTAGAAGTTATCGTTGGTACTGACCCGAAACGGAAGCCAAGCACAGAGTTATTCCCACGGCACCATAGACGCCGTGCATCCTGGCGAGGTACTTAGCAGCTGGGGCGTCGCAGGCGTCCACGCCCTGGCAGTCCAAGACGAGGTACTTGATCTGCTTCATGAGGGGAGAGACGAGGGCCGTGTCATTCTACGTGGGAAGGGAAATGTAATCGGTCTCTTAAAAGCTCTCTCAAAATACCGCCTGCATCCTATCAGCGCATAAGGCGAACAAACGGACATTAATTGAGCACAACCTTCATTCATCAAACATTCCTTACATATGCTATAGCAAACTAAAAATTGAGAGTTGAAACTGGTAGTATAGAAATTGGGGCTATGGGTATTGTTTGTATAAACGGCATCGATCACAAGTTACCGACCATTTACACCGATCAAAACCCTAATTATTTACCTCCGATCAAAACCTGATCATTTAGCCCAGATTGACCGAGTGCGCCCAATATTATTTAACCACCGGCTTTAGTTAAGTTTGGAAACTATTTGTTACTAAAAACCAAGAACTTAATCTAGAGCGAGTGCCACGATGGAAGATGCTTCCTTGGGATATATAATATAATTGATTTAAATTTTTAAAATACTTTCCAGAACCGGGATGCTCATCTTTCTTAATTACCAAAAAGCAATAAGGTACTTTATACGTTTCATTACACAGTTCTTGAAAGGGCATATCGTAAGCAATGTAATCACTGTGGACACTCTTCATATCGATGAAAGGTAACTCAAATAGAATTAATAGATTTGAATTGGTTCTAATAGTTTGTCTTGGTAATATGTGATAGTTTTGGCATAAGTAACTTTAACTACATTTATATGGTTTCCACAGGTGCCAAAACAATCAACAGGATTCTGATTCTTTTCCGTAGCAATATCATCAAAAATGAAATTTTTTTTCTTCTGATGATATATGTCACTTAAGTCAGGGACATGCAGAAGCAATATTTTCAAAGTATTCAATTGCACATTTTTGTTGACGTCTTTTTGGCAAGTTTTCAGATATTCATCAATACTGCCATAGCCTTTAAAAAATGAATCTGTGATTTTAGATTCATTATATCCCTGCACAAAAGCATTTTTAAACAAAATTATTCGTATACCCCTATACGAAGCATTTTTAATTTTTTTAGCATATAAACGACCAATACTCTGAAATGTATTCATGATATTGAGATAAAAATTGATTTCAACAAATCCAACAGTTTACATACTCTGTTGGGATTTGTAGATGGGATGTCGGAAGATGTTGGGGAACATGGCAGTGCAAATATATTAAATATAATGTCTGTTATTACAATACTTGTTCGCTGAAGTGTAATCAATGGATTCATATCTCAATGCTGATTTACACAATATCTTACATATATTTTTCCTAACGTTCACCCGGATATAAAATTGTGGAGAATCCTTGTCAATAAATTTATCTAACCGTAGATCAGCCTTCAATTTATAATATCCAAATTTGGGTAATAGATGAAATATAAATATTTTGAACACTAGGCTAAGGGGTGAAGAAAAAACAGTACAATTGCACCTAAGATAAAAAATTAAATATCATTTAGAATTAAATTACTTAGAAAATGAAAAGCCTACAAGGGAACGAAACTATTGAAATTGATGAATCGATTAAAAAGTTGAAAGTCATGATTATGAGCCTCAAATTTATGAGCAATAACGGCTGAAAATGTGCAATCGAAAACTTTGAGAATACTGCTTCTGTCCCTGACCCAAGTGACATAGATCCTCACAAGAAAAATTTGTTCATTTTTGATGATATTGCCACGGAAAAGAATTAGAATCCTGCTGATAGTTTTGACACCTGCAGAAGACATAGTAGCTGTAGTTGAATTTACTTATGCCAAAACTATCACATATTCACAAGGCAAACCATTAGAACCAATTCAAATCTATTAATTCCTTTCGAGTTACCTTTCATCGATATGAAGAATACTCACAGAAATTACATTGCTTGTGATGTGTCCTTTGCAAAGTTTCATGAACTGTGTAATGAAACGTATAAAGTACCTTATAGCTTTGTGTTGATTAATAGAAATGAGCATCCAGGTTCTGGAAAGTATTTCCAAAATTTTAAATCAATTATATATTCCAAAGAAGTATCTTCCATCGTGACACTCGAGCTCTGGGTTAACTTTTCAGTAAAACCAACCCCCAGGTTTTTGGTAACGACAGCGGTTTCAAAATATTGGAAGTGCTCGGCCAATCGGGGTAAAATGATCAGGTTTTGATGGGGGTAAATGGCCAGGTGCTTATCGGGGTAAATGATCGTTAACCTATTAATGTAGTTAATGAAAACTGTGCTTGTGTATATACCACTTTCTGTCCTACTGAAACTCTTTTTTCACGTTTTGGAAGAAGTGATACTTTCATCACCCAAAATAAAATCTAACCTGCACAAAATATTTCATTCTACAGGAATTTTCTAAAATAAATCACACAAATAGCCAGAAAATCGTGTATTTCTCCCATGATAATGTTCCACTTGGAGTGATAGGAAAGAAATGTTTATCAAAACAAATGTAGTACAAAGAGTGAGAGATAGTGCTTTCTGCGATTTTTCTTAGTAAATAATGAGCTTCTGCATCATGCAAGAGTTAAAAAAATTTGCCGAGGCCCGTTCCGTAAATTTGAATTTAATGCCGAGCCCACTCTCGCCACATGAGCGATAAAGGAGCGTTCATATTAGTATCTTGAATGAACTATAAAAACGTTACCAAAATTCCTTGTTCTACTTATCGAATTGACAGGTACTTACTTGTTTTAAAATGTCATCAGAATAATCAGGATTCTTCTTAGCCTCGGCCATTCTCTCTTTCTTCAAAGCTACGGGGTTGATGCCAGAGCCTTTGAAAAGCTTCGCCTTAAAGTTGTCGCGATTAGCGAAATGTAGTGGACCCTCAACGCTCAAAATGACCATCCCATCCACTTCCGTTGCCTGTAACAAATGTGACTAAATTAATTCGACGAATATAATAGTACACTTATTACAAAGCCTGCGATAGCGCAAGAAAATTACAGCCTTTCCGTACAGCTGCCGAATTCGTCTTCTCAATTGTTCAAAATTTGTGGGCATGGAGCGGGCTGATTGCGGGAGCGAGGGTAGACTGAAGATTCAGCAGCAGTAATTTGTGAAGGGCAATGACTTAAGATTTTCTTTAAATTGGGCTTATTTACACGAGCGAAAGACCAAGGACAAGGTAACTTAAGAAAACTGCATTGCTTTTAACGGGGATTAAACCGACGGAGTCGGTCATATCTGAGATTGAGAAGAGCGCCGCAAATCGTACGTAGACTGATGCTGGATATAGAAACCCATCTATGGCTTGGACAATCAGGAATTTATGTCGGCCGTGAGAGGTGATAAGACCATCAGCAACAGCTAGTCGCGATGCTGAGAGCTCATTTGCTGTAAAACGACCTGAAAAAAGATCCGACGGCTGAATAAACTGAGATATGTTCAGGTATATGGCCAAGCCGGTGCCCGGCCGTAAGAATTAGTAAACAACAAAAATTAAAGAAATTATGGAATTGATAGCATTAATTTATGAGTAACAAATACAGCATATGCATCAATCTTGCACGGCATCCAAGTTGCAAGACCTGCAACTTGGACGTCAATTTAAGTTCAAGATGTCTAATCGATCTTGATCTAAAAGGCCTTACTTAACAGTCTACCGTTCGCAGCCGAGCAGTACCCGGCAGCGCAGCACCAAGGAACACCATACGGAGACAAGAACAGGTAGGAAAATTTTTGTTTCTAAAACGACGCCAGTCGGCGTCAGCACAGCGCATGCCAGAGGCCAGCTTCGCCCAAATTCACATTTTAATCACATTCCTTTCAGTGGGTGAGAACGCTAGAGGAAATAGCAGCCTATGAAGTCTAGTTCTAACAGCCATACCGCCGTATTTCCACAGCCACCGTTTAAGCATGTCCAAGTTAAACGTGGTCATACTGAATCTGGCCAAACCTATTCTCGCCTAACCTCTTTTGTCCTAACCTACACACGTTGCAACATTTCTCCACCCAAACGAACCTGAGCGGACCCTAACCTCAGTGGCTGCTGGACGTTAGAGAAGAAGGTAGAGACAGTCATTGGCTGCAAGAAGGTTGGGAGTCAGGGCAGCGTGGATAGCTAGGGCCAAAAGAGGTTAAGCCATGGTAGGTGAGGCCGAATGCAGAACTGGCTGCTTGTGAGCGAGCATGCTGAAGTTTTGGATGAAGGAATGTGGCGCTATTTTCGTTAAGCAGTCTTTCACTGGAGCGGATAACGGTGTTCAAGCATAGACTGCGGTTTCTATCTCTGAGGCTGAGTAAAGTTATTGCATGCTGAGGGTGAGCGTTGACTCCATGGCTTATTAAAGAGTTAAATTTATTGTTCACTGCTGCGCCCTCACGCCAGCGACGAACGACATCGAGAATTGGATCAACAATTATGCAAGTGGCGGAGTTATCGGCTACCATGGACGCAAGGCGACTCCGTGCCACTTCAAGGGATAAACGGGTTAAGGACATGAAAAAAAGTGGGAGGAAATTAATTATGATTAGCGATATGTTATTGTGAATAAGTATGAACGCATTGCTGGAGGAAAACATGAAGATAGTAGAGGATATGATATGGGCCCAATAGCAAATACAATACTGCTCACGCTTTTTTATGGCCACTCTTCTACGCGGTTATTATTTTACATTGCCTGATTAAGTACGAGCCACTATGATGCAGATGAATTAATCTAGCTGTCTTAACTTTGGTATGTGACAACTACACCTGAATACCCGTGCATTTTGCACCCCTCTCTCCTCACTATAACGCCCTTCATGCATAAGACGCCCACCTACCTAATCGCATGGACTCGTTCCTGACGGTAAATGGGACAAACGCGTCGTCTACGTCCTCGACCACTCTCATCCATATCACCTGCCTAGTTAACAAGCGTGGCCAACGAGTTCTACTCCTTATAACATCAAGTACATATCCATAGAACTTACTAACTACTAACATCCATGAGAAGCTGTTAGAAAAAGTAGCAAATAATGAAAATACAAACATACCACAATATGCACAACAGAATAATACATGGTTTCAAGAAATCCAGATGAAATACATGCAGAATAGCAACATTGCACGAAACACTACCCGTCCAACTGGTATATATCTTCCTCCGTGGTGCTCTTAATAAACTGTAATAAATAAGCATGGTACGTACAAGACTCAAGACACAAGATTATCCGACTTCAAAATACTTTACTTATCCATTACGAAGACTACATTACAGACAGAACAGCGCTCATTAAAATAAGAATCACACAGGTCTCAAATTCCACATGCATAGCATTTTCAGACAGTCAAAGAAAAAACACACCACCCTCAAACAAACTAACATTTTTACGATAAATATATGACCTCAAACGGTTAATGCTCTCAAATAGTAGCAAGAACAGCAACTTACTGTACAAATTTACACAAACTACTCAACACCCAACAATAGCGCACCCTACATCCCTCTTCGTCGCTTATAGTTATACCTCATTTTTCGTAGCAAAAACCGACAAATTCAAAATGTGAAAAGTTCAAAACCAACAGCTAACCACAAATCCCAATGCACAATCGCAACCTACAAGACTGACTATCAGTACCTGTACATTTGTTTCCATAACGGGTCCTACGAGCACTTACTCCAGGCAAAGCTTACTCACTGACGGAACGCACAATGAGTGATTGTCTACTATGGCCCAACTCCCGAAATCACAACCTCCCTCTCAAGTCTGTAGCGTTCTACCGTTATTGGTCATTATTCATAATTATTGTCATCAATAAAATCACTGGAAAAGTACAAAGTCGTCTGCAAAATAGTTAGAATACGCCATTTATAATTATCATTACATGGAGTCAGACGTTTTAAAAATGTAGACTATATAACTATCCTCGCCACCCATCATTCTCCATACAAACTCTTCAAAGCCCAGACTACCGGGCCCCCTTCTGACTATCCCCCGACTGTAACCTTACCTTAAGCACCTGCCTTAAAATAATTAAGCCCCCACCCCATTTTCCAGTTTTACTTCTGTACTTCGCAATAATTTCCTCCTTCCTCTTTCTGGCCACTGTGCCACCTCTTGTTTTCCCCAAATTTTCCACCCCCCTATAGCGGCAATGCGCATGGATTCACTCGAAGTAATCAAAATGAATAAATGAATCTGCACTGAAGTCGATGTAGTCTCCGGTTACATTTTTCCGGTTAGGATGTGTTCTAGCTGTCTAAGTACATTTTCATTTGTAAGCTGCGTTTCATTTAGACTCGTGTAATTTAGGTGCCATAATCAAATTTCACAGAAAATTGTTTGAATTTACGTCCGAAAATCATTTCTAACCTAATAAAATTATTGGAAGTGCAAAATAATTCGGACGAAGACATGAAGTAAGCAATTCGCAATTTTTAACAGGCTTGAAACCAAGCAGGCTTTTTATTTAATAAATTCGACAGTGGAGAGCTAACAAATAGTCATATTTAACTAAACGCTCCTGCGATGTGATACGACTTCGTGCATTTGCAGCTATTTTAACATTATGTTATAATATTTCATTGAATGTCCGAAAAACAAACTTAGCTTACTTTTTTGTACTGGCCGATGTCCGCGTAGATATCAGTGCCGGGAAGTTGGCCAAGTTTGGTTATCTTCGGGTGCTGGCCTCTAACAACGAGAACAGAGATCGCCACCAAGACACCGATAAGAAGGCCCAAGTCAACGTCAATGAGAATGACAGCCAAAGCCGTCACGGTCCAAAGCATAGAGTCTACCTTGGAGACCTTCCACATCGCAATCATGTCGAAGACCTGCGAAGCACAAAAATAATTTGTGAATGTAAATAAAATGCGAGATACAAAACGATGACATGAATACAATTTCAAATTTCCCTTTTATGCTGGAAGTAATAATAACAACACAGATTTATCATGAACCTGTAATATGTCATATTTATTCATGTAGGTACCGAAAGACAAGATATAATTTTGAACCAATTTCTAACCTTCATTATCATTTCCTTCAGAGCCACTACAATGATGCTGGCCAAGCAAGCCTGTAAAGAGAAGTACCTATAAGAATCATTTCAATTAAGAACATTCAAAGTAGTAAATCCTAATCTTTTATTTTTTGGAGAAATTGGGTTATCACCAGATATTAATTACAGCTTGAATAGGTTGTCAACTTCAAATTGAATGCATTAAATGAATTGACTTGTACGTATAAAATCAAATTGCACAGTTTGTCATCCCTGAATTGCGCGTTTCCTGACACACCTTGGGCAAAACTTCAAAGATGGGCCCCACGAAGAGCAGCACCCACAGGATGACGAAGGCGGACACAAGCCCAGCGACCTGCGTCATGCCTCCAGCGGCGTCTTGGATGAGGACTCTTGCTATGGCCGCCGCCATGGGAGCGCACGAGAAGAATGAACTGATCACGTTGCCAATACCCTGGAATAGATATTATAAACTAGGAGTGTGTTGAGCTAAGAGAGTGGGTCATTTTGAGCTTCAAACGCTGAAACAATGCCGATTTAATTTTTCGCTGTCATGTTGAAAAAGGTAAGAATATTTTTCGGATCGAAGACTGGAAATATATTTCAGATAACCAGCGATCGTTTTAAAAATTGAATTTTTAGCTTGGAATTGTTATTATCGAATGATCAAATGTCCAATGACTTGTAAGTAGCTGATCATTAGATTAATAAGCGAGTGATTAGGGAGGAATATGGAGATAGAAAGGAAAATGAACATTTTCCTTTCTAACATAAAGGAGAACATTAGCATGCATTTCGGGTTGGGTAGGAAGCTATATTTACAATAACTTTACAATAAAACGTATTTTTATTACGTAAATGTATTCAACAACAATTATATCCTAAATTAGTTGTGTTATCAGAATAATTCATTAATCAACTGGCCATTCGCTGTTAGGATATTATACACTGCCGTTTATTGTGATATTTAAAATAAGTTCACACCATGGCATACAGTTCCTGGTTAGCGTCAACTTCATAGTCGTGTTTTGTGGCAAATATCTTGGCGAGGGAGAAGGATCCTGCGTACGCAATGATGGCGATCACGAGGCTGTCAACCGCCACGGCCGCGGCCAGAGAAAACGGCGGCATGGCGGGCATTGGCAACCTTCAAAAATTGAATTTATTAGCTTGAAATTGTTATTGTGGAATTATCGAATGATCAAATGTCCAATGATTAGTAAGTAACTGATCATTAAGATTAATAAGCGAGTGATTAGGAAGGAATATGGGAAGTCGCCAATGATTGATTATCAGAGGTGGGTCACATGTGAGTCGAAAGAGGTTGAAAAATGTCAAGCTGAACTTGACGGGAGACTTGTTAAATAATTATCCAAATCAGTCTTTATTGTTACTATCATAAACATAGAATTTTCTGTGGGCAAGAAAATGATATTACTATAATTTCAATACTGATCTTCACATTTCGAATTTGTTAAATGGGTAGTGTAAATGGAAGTTTGTACTTAGTTGCCTAAATTGTTGCACAATTTCAGCAGGGCTTGTCATCTATGAGCAAAGTGCATGCACATCGGAAAAAAATACTCGCACGTACCCAGTAGGAATTTCCCCGACGATGTTCACACTGTAAGTTTCATGGACATTGATGGAGTAAGACACTGCAGTGCCAATGATGACGACGATCAGCTCGATTGGCATTGGGATTTTGGTGACTTTAGCAAGACGCGGCTGAAGGGGAAAACAATAGACAATATCTCATATTTTCTAAGATGGATTATGTAAGAGAGAAATACTCTCTATCTCAACTACAGAATGCTCACCGCAGTACTGCAACGATAGATTCACCAGGGATGGAATTTAAATAAAAGTTCAGAATTAGCTGGTCGCTGAATGTCCTGGCACATCAACATTGTTTGGCGTGGTTTTCGAATGTACGTATAGAAATGTCAAGAAGCACATTAACAGAAGCATTTGTAATAGAGTAAATTAAGCGGCATGGAAAATGAAGAATTATTGTCATAATTTTATCAATTGCAAGCCTTTGATAATGAACCAACCAACCTTCAGCTGCTCGTTGTTGACCGAAAGAATGAACATCGACACGGCAGATATGACGATAGTTGCAACGTTCGCTGATGGCAGCTTACTGATGACATCGCTCAAAGTCTAGAAAGCGAATAACATACATTATAAAATTCAATTATGAAAAGTAGTAAATTTTGTCCATGCATTTATTAATTGAAACTGTTTAACTTAGTTTTCTTGCTGGAAAGTCGCTGCCGATTATTATTAGTGCCGAATAATTTTTAAATTGATTTTCAGTACAATTGGAAACTAAAATACAGCGTCGAGGCTTTGATGTCAGGCACAGTAGTAATAATTAAATAACTATACACTAGCATCATTCACTTTCTAGCACATTCTTACATAAATAATCTTGAAAGGTCCAGAGAAAGGTGTGACTTTGATGCCGAATATATCTTTGAGTTGGGAGACCATGACGTGCACTGCAGCTCCCGTACTGAAGCCTGACACCAACATGTCGTTGAAGAACACAGTCACCGAGCCCAAGCTCAGCATTCCCAGCACAACCTAAGCGAGACCAGAACTCGTGCTTAAATTTTGAAATTGTGAGGATATTACGGGAATCATTGACAATAGGGAATTGGTTTTCTGCATTTCAATTTGAGGACGCAGTTCAAAGAAAATGCACAAATTATTATTTATTTATTGACGCCAAGCCTTTACTACATGTTTATTCTTGTTAAAAAACTTTAAAACATTTCTATGAAAACCCCGTATAAACATGAGAACTAAGAATCAAGAGCATTATTACGTTGGCAGCAACTCAGGTTACTAGTTGAAGCATCATAACTTACGCTCCAAACTCCGACCATGAAACAGACGATGGTGGCGACCTCGACAGGCGTGTAAGTGACTGGCATGTCTGCCGCAGCCGAGGCCGTTGCGTTCACAGATGCTAGGAAAGCAGTTGCATTTCCAGGAGCCCCTGGCGACCCTTCCGGGAAGGTCGCGTACTCGTTCACCACCTTGCCGGTCATCAGCGTAATGACAGCAAACGCTCCTGAAGATGAAATATTTGGGAGTTCCCTATTGTAGAAAATAAGTGGAATATCCATTTAATGTGAGTTAACGATGATTAAGATGTTACGCAATTGCATAGATAAATATAAATAAATAATCTACCTTTTCAAGCGGAAGAAATTTCAGAGTCCCAAGTTATTTACCAGGAAATGAGAGCTTCAACGCTTAAATTTACAGGGATTTGAATGATTTCAAAGCATGAACTTAATACGGCCACTGTGGAAGGTAAGCATTTTCCTCACCCATGGAGTTGTGCTGCGAGGAGGCCAGCACGGCGTACACCAGCACGGGGAAGAACGCCATATAGATACCGCAGATGGCCGGGATGTTCGCGAGCAGAGCAAAGCCCATACCTTGTTTTTGAACACGAATATAGATCAAGCTTTCTGCACGCTGATTTGAGCATCGAATAGTTAACAATTGAACAATATCAGAACATCTAAACTGTAATTCAAAGTTTTAATTTTTCGTTATAGGGCAAAAACTAATGATTTCCGCTAAGTTTTCTTCTTTGGTTTCCACGACCTTTCCATCTACGCAGCTTTAAACATCGTGGTATCTCATGGTTCACTGAAAATGTTATACAATTCTGAGGTTATGATAGGATGTTTTCACGATGGGCTGATAAGACATTTTATTCTCATGTGTAGAATTTTGGGTGGTGTTCGAGTTGAGAAGAATTAGAACAAAGAGGGAACTCCGTAGTTATTTACAGCGAAACTCTGGAATTAATCATCCACAAAAAATTATCTGTTCTATTATGAGCGTATAATTATTGCATCACTACTTTCTGTCAACGCTCACAAATATTTGTTATAGGCATGCCTTTCGTTCAAGAATTTTATCGACTTGAATTGGATTTGACTTGAATTGTCAATTCAAGTCAATTCGACTTGAATTGGACCCAAAAATCGCCAGAACTAGCAAAAATTTCCCAAATACTCTCCGAATTTCTCACCCAGCGGTATCTGCAAGATGGCAACAGTGAGACCGGCGATGGCGTCTCCAATGAGTAAGCTCCTGAAATCATAGTTCGGGAGCAAGCCCAGAATCGGGATCCTCTTGCTCACGACGTCCCTGACATCAGAGGGCGAGCATGTCAACTGCTTCCTCACGTAACGACGGCAACGAACCACAACACCTGTAGAACAGTCCAACGAACAAGGCTTGTTTACTTAATTCTCTCTGGTGCAGATGTTTCAAATTATCCGAAAGTATGAAGGTATTGGTTTTACAGTTATGCGATCCATTGATGTATATCTAAAATTAATAGATCAACTTCTGCTCAAATTAAATGCCAACAAATAAAATTTCAAGAAACTACATGACCCCTTTTAGCGATCTACCGTATCTTTTAGCTGTCCATATATTAATCTAAAATAGTTCCCAGATTTGCAACAATAAATTATTAGCGTGAATTTACAAATGGATATCGTGAATTTGGTTGGGAATCAAACGAAACCACCGGTAATTCAACTTAATCTTTATTGACTAAAACTTTCGTCAAGCGGGGGAACCTATCTTCATTAAGCCTTGCGCTAATCAATCAAACCTTACACTAAGTAATTCCGACTCGCTTTGAGTATTGCAACTCACCGTCATCGGGTGGGGTCTGGTAGCCGCCTAACTCCCGCTTATCCGACACTGTCAACGCTGGTCTCGTGATAGGAACTGAAACTTGGTCTGTCCCCCTCATTGTGTTCAGGGATAGGGTATCACGGTACTGAAGATTTGTTTAACGATATACAGTGCGTACAGATTGCACGACGATAGAATTTTGATCAAAAAATTTAAATAAATGAAAAAATTGTCACATAACTAGCGCTGTAGCCAAGCACCACACAACGTTGCATCAATACAGTTTTTGTCGCAGACAAAAAGGGAAATTCTGTCTGCAATTAGTTACCTGAAAAATGAATACATTGCATCAACACAAATAGGTCATGATCATGAAATATGACATATAGTCTAGAAATTGTGTGGAAATTGCGTCAGTTTATGAATCATCTTTAGTCTATCAATGTAATTAATTAGCAGAACCTTGAAACTAGTCTGTCCCGGAATTAGTATCCTAACCAACTTATGCAGACGTATATCTCAAAAAAGATGTTTATATCCCAGCGTCTACACGTTTAATTAAGAGCGGAGTGGACAGTGTTATGCGGGAATTTGTGTACACTGTGCAGAGTAGACGAGCCTCCTAGCTTGATTAGATCTGATCAAAAGACCAGTAGTCAGCAAAGTCCAAAAGACAAGTACCAGGCCCAACATAATCGGCAGAATAGTTTGGTCCTTAATCAACCGACAACGATTAAAAAATTTTTGCACCAATTAGACAGAGCACGTAGGAACTGTCCAGTATTTGTTCTCCACTGCGAGAAGCTGCCAATGTTCATCAACTGTATCGAATCAGCCCTCGACCAAATAGTCTAAAAGAACGCATTCATTTTGGAATCTCATTTTGCGATTTGGAACCTAACCACAGATTTTTTCAGCTAATACTAGTAACGTAATCTAATAACGCAGTAGCTCATGTATGAAAGTGTCAATATCACGCAGTTTGGCAGTTCACAGTAATCCCTCGTTACTCTGAGCCACACCTACCGCGGCTGCACTCCATCGCGGAGATTCAATAACTGTAACTGAAAAGAATCATTCGCGTATCTTCGCTGTTTCATGGGCATCTGAGGCAGCCGATCGGCAGGTTTTTAAAAAATATATTTAAAATTACATGAAACCATGAATGTCTTATAAGTAATAATTTAATTAATTTATAAACATTTAAAATAATAAAAATTTACCATATAAATAAATAGGTAGTATCAGTCGATTAATTCCCTATGGCAGATTTAATCAATCGCGGCCGAATTTTGAACGTAACAACTGTGATAGGTGGGGGACTACTGTATTTTAAGGATGAGCATGCAGACCACTTAATAAGGAATGCGCCTTCGATACGCGGCCTGATGATGCTAGGCAGGTTTACTGCTACTATTCAGGAGAGCCATGATCGTGGGTCGCGGTCTACTGAAAGCTGGGTACAATTCGAGCGCTCAACGCTGGGCAAGAATTTGAAGTGATGACTTTAACGTTCAGTGGTGGACATTCATTGAACAATGGGCAATTTGCTCCCTTCATTGATGGTGCAATGTTTGAAAGATAACGGTGTCGTAGGCTAGTTTTCGGCAGCAATCCAAAGATGATTGGTGGATAGAATCGGAACGATTCTATATCGGGCTGAGTGGTGTTCAAATTTCATGGTCCAGGGCTTCGCTTACGAAATTTTACGGTTAAGAGATAAATAGGTTCACATGTAGGATCAGCCGCATAGGTTAACGGATAGTTCCTGCATGAGCCGTATCTTCACTAAAAATACAACCATTGAACAGGTTCGATAAGCCATTGGTAGTTAGGGTAGTCGAAAATTGGTCCTGTTTAAAATAGGCTTATGGCTGAGGCTTAAGCGATCGTTGAGGCTTAAGCGATCTTTCACTCAATAGAGGTAAGACCTGCATTTGAGTTAATAATATGCGTTTAAAAATTACTTTTCAAAGACAACACTTCTGAACAATCCAGTGTCTTGGATGTTACACATGTACAATGAATTTCTAATTTTATTTTCAAATATTGAAAAAAAAATTTCACAATTTTTTAAGATATCAAAATATTGTAAATTATCAAAATTATTTAGTATTCTGTCAACTGATTCATGCATTGTCTCTGACTTCATGCGATTGTGCAAAATTTCAGATCGATTGGACAGGTCAAATTGTGTCATATATGGATTATAATATTGGTAGCAGACGAAATTATTTTACAATTTTTTTAATAATGAAGAAAAAATTTTTTAACTTATAAAAATATTTATTCTGTCAATTATTCATGCATTGTCTCCAACTTAACGCAACTGTGCAAAATTTCAGAACGATTGGACAGGTAGAAGTGTGTCAGATATCGATAATAAGATTTGTAGCTGACAAAATTATTTGTACTTTTTTTTAATATTAAAAATTTTTTTTTAATTCTTAAAATTATTTATTCTGCCAATTGATTCATGCGTTGTCTCCAACTTTACACAAGTGTGCCAAATTTCAGATCAATTGGACAGGTAAAAGTGTGTCAAATATCAATTATAAGATTTGTAGCTGACAAAGTTATTTTTTCCATTTTTTTAGTAGTGAAAATTTTTTTTATTTAATTCTTAAAATAATTTATTTTGACATTTGATTCATGCATTGTCTCCAACTTTACGCAAGTATGCAAAATTTCAGATCGATAGAATAAGTAGAAGTGTGTTAAATTTCGATTATAAGATTTGTAGCATACAGACAGACAGACAGACAAATAAACATCAAGAAGTGAAGTTAAAGAGAAGTGTTGTAAAAAGGACCGCAATTGGAGAAAACGGGTCATGAGACAAAAAATTTTGCTTCCACTAATTCTATCTATCGTGAATCGGGGGCAAGTTACAATGATTAAGATAATCAATTTAATTAAACTAACCAGCCCCAGTAAGGATGCCGGGAATAGAATGACTTAGCAACGCCCGTCAACTCATCACTCAATTATAGAATGACAACATTGCATCAACACAAATAGGTCATGATCATGAAATATGGCTAGTAGTCTAGAAATTGTGTGGAAATTACGTCAGTTGAAACAGCTTCAGTCTATCAACGTAATTAATTCGCAGAACCTTGAGACTAGTCTTTGTCCCGGAATTAGTACCCTAACCAGCTTAGGCAGGCGCATCTCTCAAAATATATGTTTACAAAACAAATTCATGCAATTTTTCTTAGTTATCTGTACATATAATTTGTTTTATTGCCCAGATATATTTGAAACAAATTTTGCATGAAACCGAAGCGTCCGCACATTTTTGTTCCATTGAACAAGTCCCCAGCAAAGAAGTCGAGAATAGTTTGGTCCATGATCAACCGACAACGATTTAAATAATTTGCACCAATTAAACAGCGTATATTTTTTTCCACTCCTAGAAGCTGTCAATATTTATCCTCTGCATCCTATCAGTCCGCGACCAAATAGTCTGAAAGAACTCATGCATTTTGAAATCTCATTTTGCGATTTGGGACCTAACCACAGATTCTTTTCAGCTAGAACTAGTAACGTAATCTAATAGCACAGAAGCACTTGTATGAAACTGTCATCATCGTGTAGTTTAGCAGTTCAGTGATCCCTCGCTACTCTGCACCTCACCTAACGCGGCAGCACTTCATCACGGAGATTCAATAACTGTTAATGAAAAGAATCATTCGCAGATATTCGCTGTTTCACGGGCATCTGAGACAGCCGATCGGCAGGTTTTTTGTCAAAAATATATTTAAAATTGCATGAAACCATGCATATCTTATTTGTTATAATGTAATTAATTTATAAGCATTTGAAATAATAAAAAATTACCATATAAATAAATAAGTAATTTCAGTCATTAAATACCCTATGGCGGATTTCACTTATCGCCGCCGAATTTTGATTTTAAAGCCTGTGATATGTGTAATGCTTGAAAGATAATGGTGTGGTAGGCTAGTTTTGGACAGCAATCCAAAGATGATAGGTGGCCTCGAGGAACGATTCTATTGCGGGCTGAATTGGTGTTCAAATTTTACAGTCGACGGCTCCGCTAAAGATATTTTACGGCTAAGAGATAAATCGGTTCATAAGTAGGATCAGTTACATAGGTTAACGTATAGTTCCTGCATGAGCCGTATCTGTACTAAAAATAAAACAACTGAACGGATTTGAGGAAGCCATTAGTATTTAGGGTAGTCGAAAATTTACCTTGTTTAAATAGGCTTATGGTTCAGGTTTAAGCGATCTTTCGCTGCCAGCAATAGAGATAACACTTGCATTTAAGTTAGCAAGGACCGCAATTGGAAAAAATGGCACATGATACATAAAAATGAGGAAATGTGTCATGGGACAAAAAAAAATCTGCTTCCACCAATTCCTTCTATCGGGCACAAGCTACCATGATTAAGTCAATCAATTTAATTAAACTAACCAGTCCCAGCAAGGATGCCGGGAATAGAATGACTCAGCAACGCCCGTCAACTCATCACTCAATTATAGAATGACTCAGCAACGCCCGTCAACTCATAAATCAATTTTGCCCCAATGAGACAGCGTTTAGGGACGGTCCAACATTCATGGTCCACACCAAGCATCCAGTGTTTATTCCCTACATTGGATTAGCCCCTGGTCGATCGGCCCATCGTTCACTTTGCGAAGAATCCTGGAATCTTGCTTCACGTTCTGAAAACTGATCTTAGTTTGTGCCGGCTAATACTAGTCAAAATGAAATTGATTTGCATTATTTTAATTTGGATTTATTTTTATTATTTAGATATTTATTTATTTTTATTATTTAACGCAGGCCAATTGTAACTGAATGCTTATCATTCAATCCACGTCCTGGTGGTGCTCTGCTGGTTTCATGCAACTCTTCATTAGAGCTATTTTTTGTCGCCGTACGCTTGTCGCTGCCCGCGTACAATTCGATGTGACGTTCAGTGATGGACAAATATTTCCCCATAGGCTATTTCGCACCTGTCGTTGGTACGTGGGACTTGACAAAAAATATCGTTTTACGCCGCCATAATTTTAAATTTCCTGCTTGAGGCTACAGTCACAAACATAGGCGATATCTCATACCCAATAATTATCATCCACTATCGGAGGAGAACGACGCATGTCTGTGAAAGACAAATGTTCATTGAAATGTTTCAGAGACAAGCGGAAGTAACCGCAAATTACATTGCATGACAAGTGGAGAAGACAGAGCTGAGGTGACTGTCCAATTCACTTCCGCGCCCTTGTCTTGAGCCCCGGACTTTCTATGGGTCAAGGTTTTTCCGCACACTTCCTAATTCATAGCTCGGGTTTGCACGCTAGCAATAGCATACAAAGTTAGACGCTCTCTGACGCGATATTTAAAATTGTAAACACTTTAATTCAATGTGTCCACATGCATGCATCATTACGCGTAGGAAGCACACAGTTTACGTTCATAACAACAC